AAAACTCTGTTAGCCTTTGCCCTGCTTCATTCTGTACTCCAAGGCCAAATTTGCCTGTTACTCTTGACTTCCAGGTATCTGAAATTATACCTGAAAGTATACTGTGGTATTCAGGACTGATTTCCTTTAGGATGGACTGTTTGGATCCCCTTGCAGTCCAAGGGACTCTCAAGAGTCTTCTCCCCAACACCACAGTTCAAATGCATCAATTCTTTGGCACTCAGTTTTCTTTATAGTCTGACTCTCACATCCATACATGACCCCTGGAAAAACCATACCCCACATCCAAGGTCGGAGAAACCCCAGTAAAATGGTAGGTGCTGGAGCAGCTGTGAGGAGATAGCCCATGTCCAAGGGCAAAGGAGAAGCCCCAGCAAGATGGTAGGAGGGGCAAATTTGCATTTAGAATCAAACTCCATTCCCACCAGAGACACTCAGAGGGCTCAAACAAACCTTGTGCACACCAGGACCCAGGGGCCCCACAGAGACTGAGACAGAACTGGTTTTGAGCATCTCCTGTGGAGGCACAGGTCACGGTAGTCTGCCACAGGGACAGGGGCTCTGGGTGCATCAGACTTGGGTATGGCATAAGCCCTCTTGGAGGAGGTCACCATTAACCCCACCATAGAGCTACCAGAACTTACACAGGACTGGGAAATAGACTGTTGGAGGGTAAACAGAACCTTGTGCACCGGACCCAGGAGAAAGGAGCAGTGACCCTACAGGAGACTGTCTTGGACTTGCCTGCGGGTGTCCGGGAGTCTCCGGCGGAGGCGTGGGTTGGTGGTGGCCTGCTGCAGGGTTGGGGGCACTGAGTGTAGCAGTACATGCATGGGATCTTTTGAGGGAGGTCCCCATTACCTTCATTACTTCCACTATAGTTTGGCCCCAGGTAAATAGCAGGGAGGGAACACAGCTCCACCCATCAACAGAAAATTGGATTAAAGATTTCCTGAGCATGGCCCTGCCCATCAGAACAAGACCCAGATTCCCCCTTAATCAGTCTATCCCATCAGGAAGCTTACATAAGCCTCTTATCCTTCTCCATCAGAGGGCAGTCTGAAAACCACAATCACAGGAAACTAACCAATCTAATCACATGGACCACAGCCTTGTCCAACCAATACAGTATATTAAGGCATATATATGGAATTTGGAAGTGAAAGTGAAGTTGCTCAGTCATGTCCGACTGTCTGCGACCCCATGGACTGCAGTCCACCAGGCTCCTCCGTCCATGGGATTTTCCAGGAAAGAGTACTGGAGTGGGTTGCCATTTCCTTCTCCAGGGGATCTTCCCAACCTGGGGATCGAACCCCGGGTCTCCTGCACTGGGGGCAGACGCTTTACCATCTGAGCCAGCAGGAAGCCCCTATGGGATTTAGAAAGATGGTAATGATGACCCTGTGTGGAAGGCAGCAAAAGAGACACAGATGTAAAGAACAGATTTTTGGACTCTGTGGGAGAAGGTGAGGTTGGGATGATTTGAGAGAATAGCATTGTAACATGTATACTACTGTGTGTGAAATAAATTCTAAGTCCAGGTTCGATGCATGGGACAGGGCACTCCAGGCTGGTGCACGGGGATGATCCTGAGGGATGGGATGGGGAGGGAGGTGGGAGGGGCATTCAGGATGGGGAACACATGTACACCCATGGCTGATTCATGTCAGTGTATGGCAAAAACCACTACAGTATTGTAAAGTAATTAGCCTCCAATT